ATATATAGATTTTAAATTTACCCTATTCTCTTAGTGTCTGAGGGTGTCCCTATAAAACAGAATTTAAAAATGGTTTTATTGATGAAACAAGTTTTTCACTGGCACAAACTTTCAATTTACTGCTGAACCAAACAAACTACTTATTGCTGTTAATTTTAGTTTCATTAGAGTCCAAATGGTTGTTTTCTTCTGTTTCTCGGAGGCAGTCCCGGTGTCCGGAGGGGTTGCGGCGGTGGCTGCTGCGGCCGCATGGCGGGACGGGGGGTTGCTGTGTGCAGGAGCAGGGCGCAGGCGGGATCGGCGGGGCCGGGGCCGCCAGCAGCGCCGGGGTCTCGGCGGGGCGGCGGCGGCACCGCGGGTGTCCGGTCCGGTCTGTTGCGGGGCAGGGTCCGCCCCGGGCGGCTCGGCGGGAGCTGCAGCAGCGAGGCAGGAGCGGGGCCGGCCGATGTCGGGGCTTCCCCGGAACCGCGGCGCGGGGCCGGCCCGGGGCCGGGCGGCGCGGGGAGAGGCAGCTGATGTCGGGGCTGCGGCGCGGGGCCAAGCGGCGCGAGCGGCACGGCGGGCGGCGCGGGGCCGCGCAGGGGGATTGCTGCGGAGCTGTTTCGAGCAGCTTTAACCCTTTTTTCGCCATGCTGGCGTGGTAACTATCTTTCAGGTTAGCAAGCAGTCTTATTAGATGACTTGCAGATGGAATTACATATGTTCTTTAAGCTTGCTTTTTCTCTCTTAAAGAGGCATGCACGCTTCTTGTAGTTACAGGTTTACAGGGGGAGAGGTTTAGGGAGTATGCCGAAGTTTCCTTAAAAGGGGATATGCCGGGTCTGCTCCTACCTGATGTCGTCAGGAAGGTTGAAGTACTCAAAACAGGATGCTCTCTTGTGGTGATGCAACTTGCTAGTACTTTTGCCGCTTAGACCCGGTTCGCCGTTGACACAGACGTCGCCCCAGCCTGTGCTTGGGATTGCTTTTATCTTCACAGAAGAGTTCAAACAATCTTGGCCTCACCACGTGGCCCAATTACGGCGAATTGAGGGGGATGGGGGAGACTTCGGGGCGCCGGGGAACACAGATATCGCATCTGTGCTTTAGGAATCCACCTATCTTCATAGAAGAGTTCAGCAAGATTCGTTTCCTCACACGGTGGGCACCAGATATGGGTTTCCCTTTCCTCATCCTCGACGTGGGGGAGCCCAGCTCTAGTTCCTTCTCCGTCTGAAGAACCATTTCCGACGTCTTGTGGGACAGGGAAGGGGGACTCCAGAAACAGGGTTTTTCAGGCCCCGAGCCTGGAGGGGAGAGGTGCCCTCCCCTCCCCCCACCACCCACGTGGCTCCATGGCAGGCACAGAGACAGCACACCGGCGTGGAGAGGAGGCAAGAGAGCGTTTATTGTTGGGAAGGGGTTTATAAGGCTTTTAGGAGGGTCAAAGGGGAACCAATCACGAGTTCAGGGTCACACAGAAAAAACCATCAGGTAAAGGGTCAACAGCCAATAGGAAGGGGTTAAACAAAGGACCAATGGGACACCTCAGGACACCTTTCCCAGGACACTGCTGCAGGGGAGATAACAGTTGCTGTGGGGGGGTGCTGGGAAGAAGAAACACGTGTTTGCAAAGGGACCACAAAGAGCCATTTTAAGACATGTTTAAACAAGTTTCTCATCAGGTATAGTGCTACAGTGTGGAGTCTCCCTCACCGCAGATATTCAAGAACCATCGGGACACAATCCTGTGCCACGTGCTCTAGGATGACCCTGCTTGAGCAGGGAGGTTGGACCAGATGACCCACGGTGATCGCTCCCAACCTGACCCGTTCTGTGATTCTGTGACTGTAACACGAGCTCAAGTGAGCAGTGACACCATTTCCCCTCCCCAGTGTGCAAACCAGTCACAGAGGAGGCTGTATGGCAAACAGCAAATGACAGGAGGGTCATGGTACCCAGCCCGCAGAGGGGTTTTGGAACTTCTTTAAGGCCCCTTCCAACCCAAACCATTCCATCATTCTATGACACGCAGCAGCTCCATGTTGTCTCTTCCTCCTGTGAAGAAAAAGGGGCTGCCCAAGTGTGGCACAGACACTCACACAGCCCATCCTTGCACCTGAGGGCTTCATAGGAGCTGAGGACAGCTCTCAAGCAGCACCTGAAACACCACCCTAGGGTGAAGCTTTGTGTACTGCCCAACCATAGACAGCTGAAAGGAACCAGGTCTTTCCATGAGCCAGGGGTTATCCATGCCTGGAGACTCCTGTGCCTCACAGGCAGTGAGAGGCAGTATTGGAGTAGAGAATCTTCTGCTTTCCCCCCTCAAAACGATGTGTACCAAGAGGTGAGACAGGGAGTGCACACCACCAACCCCTGGTATATTTGAAGTCTACTCTGTGAAATTATACTCCCCTCTCCTAGTTTTTTTCATTTTCAGGACCAAACTCACCACCTGCCATCACTGACTTCAAGCATCAGGGTAGTTGACTAAATTAACAATTTAAGCACCCCTTAAAACCCTTCTTGTGCTCCAGACAGAAGGGTCTCTCCTCCTGAAATACTAATAGGACATTTTATCACCTCAAAAGTTCCAGCACTGTGGGAAATTTACATTACATGGCCTGAAAACACAGGCACTTGGGGATAAAAGCTTTTTATTTTTTTTGCACGGTCAAGAAATTTGATTTATTCCTTTCAAACAGGGACTTGATCTGTGCCAGACAGAACATCTAGAAATAAAATGGGCAGCTCCACAAACTCAAGCAAGGTTTTTCCCATTTGTTTTTAGTTCAGCATCCAAAAGTCAATGCATCTGCACACTAAAAGAAGATCCAGGAAGTAATGGGGAGGTCTCTTCTACTTCATCTTAGTAATCTTTTAGCATAAAACTATAGACAGCCTCCAACCACTGCAAATCGAAAGCAGGGAGGTGTTCTCTGAAGAATGACCTTTGCATTCAGTTACAATCACCCTTGTCCCAGCATGGTTCAACAGAACGGACTGATATTCTTTGTGCAGAGTAATTTTTTTAGAACATATTATCTCATTTCTCTTACATAATTTCAATAATGTGTGCATAAATTTAAACAGCTGGACTACTAAGGTAATTAAAAAAAAAAAGGCAACCCTAACAGCAGTCATTTCAAACTTAAGCAACAAAGACATGTTTTGAGATAAAGAGCTGAACAGAGTTTTAAATGTCCCAAGAAACTGGAGCATTAAAGGGCACAGTTTGCCTGTAAAAAAAAAAAAAAAGTCATTCTCTTTTCCATCACTCTACTTTTGCTTTAGTTTATACTTCTTAGGGTAGTTCTTGGCAAATTGCTTTTGTACTTCTTCCTGTCTCTTTCCAAGTTTAAGCGTGTTCACCAGGTCTAAGGTTTTTTTCAGTTCACTTACAGGCTTGGTTACAAAGCCACGATATTTCCTTTTTGGAACAAACTCCAGAGCCTTCTTCCAGTCGGCAGTATCTTTCAAGGTTAATAAAATATTCATCATTTGATCCAGTGTAAGATTTTTGCCACCAGTATTCCAAAGCAAGTATTTATCCAGCGGAAGGGCTGCAGTTTCCAATCCCAGTCGCTTCGCCCGTGCTAAAGAGACTCCTGTTTTTATGCTCTTGTCAACCATCGACCCGACAATATAGATTTTATCGTGATCAAATGTTTTCATCACTTTGGGAGAGTCAGCTGTCAGATAGATGAGCTTATCCTTTGGAAAGACTTCTGTGTAGCACTGCTCTGTCACAGTGATAAGCAGCTTGCCCCATGCCTCTTTATAATGCTTAAGAAATTCCCTATGATAGAGGCTATCATCCTTGAAGTTACAGAAGTGGATGTGGAATGGATCCACAGCCCTCCGATTGCAGCCTTCACTCTGGACCAGCTGTTTCACTGTGTTTGCAACTTCTCGGACAGACATTTCTTTTTCGTAAGACATGTCAAATATCAGAGGCTGGCCAAAGATCATGGACTGAGCAGCCCTCCAGTTGTAGGCTTTATCCATAGTGCTGGCCCACAAAGATAAAAACGGACTCTTTTTGGTTTCATCCATTTTTGAAGTTTGCTCTTGTGGTTCCAGCTTCCTTTCCCTTTTCTCTTCCATCTTTCTTTTGTCATTTTTCTTGTAAAGTTCTTTGAGATACAAAAACTTTAAATACTTCTTTTTGGCTGACTTGGAAGGACACTCCATAAACGTTTTTAGCTGTTCTTCACTGACATTTTCTGGAACTAATTTGCCAGCTAGTCTCCACATCTCCAAAGTCTCACGTGCAGCAGCCAAACTGGAAAGCTCCTGAGGCTCAGAGACCGTCTCACTGACCTCTTCTTGCAACCCAGACTTCATTACCTTCTTCCATGCATCTAAATCTAGTTTTTCTGAGGGTTTGCATGAGTTGTCCTGCTTCAGACAAAGTGATAAACTCAGAGTTCTACTGAGTGGAAACAAATCCCTTTTCATCCCATGTTGTGCAGCAACTGGAAGGACAGAACTTCTTACTATTTTTTTCAGAAGCATATTAGCAGACTGCATACTTAGACATGCGCTGTGTTCAAACACTTATCTGCAAAACACCAACAGAAGGAAAAACAACTCGTCAGATTTCACAAAGAAAACACGCACTAATTTTTATTCTTAGTAACACAGACAATAGCTTAATTCTTGGAGAATACTAGAAATTCCTATTTCCACTATTACTTTTTTTACTGTTTCCTAAATAAAAACAGTATGTATGACACCACTGCTTAAAACAGCTATACTTACTGCAATTCAAAATGTGGTCAAACAACCTCCAAGTACTGTCCAAGATCTGTACCAGGTTTTCTGTATCATATGATGAGTAGGAGCCTTTTCAACCTAAGTCAGTGAAATGCTGCATGGACACCAGAAATATTTTTATACACCAAATTTATCTATGCTGTGAAAAGAGAAAGAAGAAATGGAAGAATAAGCAACCAGTATATGAAAGGGCCATCTTTTTTCTTTTTACTAAACTGCCCATTAAGTTGGTATTGGCACATAAAGCTAAGGAGATAAACCCTACAGCCCCATTAATTTCATATTTGTATTTAAATGCGAAAGGTCTGCAGAAAAAAACCACCCAAGACTGTTTAATATTTTCTTTGCCCTATGCACACTATAGAATTAAAATCAGTGAAGTTTCAATGCTTGAGAAAACATGATTTGATCAAAACTAAAATTAGCTCAAAATTTTGAAAACAAAATTCATGATCTCCCTAATAACCTAAAAATAATTTGATGTACAGAAGAACAAGTTAAATCTAATTTTGGGGTTATATATATGTACCTGCTCAGATGAGGCACAGAAAGAGCTGTGTATTAAGAAATGTGACATAACCTGACCTGCTTTTACTATACACTAACTGGTCAAACTGGTGACCAACTTCTCATTTACTACTGTTCTTAAGATAAAAGGAACAAAAACAAACAAACAACCTAACAATGTGAAAGTTGAGAAGTGTTACTATAGAGGTGTTTCCAATTTTACATTTCACCATTAAACCTAATGGCAAAAATAATAATCAAAGAAGTGTTTTGTCCAGCTTGGAGAAATCAAGGGATAAGTTCCTCAATTAACTTATATTACTGGAGCTTCAATTAAATCAATATTTAAACACCAGATTTACACAATCAGAACACTTGGTGACAGCTTTTGATAGAGCCAAGTTACCTTCCAGTGTGTCTGACATTCACACTAACATCATTACTGCAAGATTCAATCTAAACCTCTTTGAAGAACTTAAGATTTGTAACACATAAATTTTTTTTTTCTTTTTTAGCTTCACCATAACTAATCTCAGGCACAGAAAAGCCCTTTACTGATACTTCAGAGACTGAATAACTCTTCTTACTTCCCCAGCACAGCTGCCCACACACGGAATCACAGTCTGGGACAGGTTGGAAGGGACCACTGTGGGTCATGTGGTCCAACCTCCCTGCTCAGGCAGGGTCATCCCAGAGCACGTGGCACAGGATTGTGTCCGGATAGTTCTGGAGTATCTCCAGTGAGGGACACTCCACACCTCCTCTGGGCAATCTGTTCCAGCGCGCTGTCACTCACCCAGTAAAGAAGTTCCTCCTCATATCCAAGAGGAACTTCCTGTGCATCAATTTCTGCCCAATGCCTTTTGTCCTATTACTTGGCATCACCGAGCAGAGCCTGGCTCCGTCCTCTTGGAACCCTTTCTTTAGATGTTTATTCACATTAACGAGGCTGCCCGTAGGGGGACACGCCAGGCCAGGGCACGCAGTCATGCGGCTCTTCCAGAGCAGCACGGCCCGCTGCTGAACAACTCCTAAACCGGCCACGATCACCCGAGCGATCACCCACGCCAGGTCACCCTCCAGACCCAGCTGTGCCCTCTCCCCTCCCCAGAACACCGGCGCGCCCTCCCCACGCTGGGCGGGACCCACGGGCACCGCGAAACACCTGCCCGAGCTCCGGCCGCGCTCCCCCCCGCCCGAGCTCCGTCGGGGCAGACCACGCAGACCCCGGCGGTCACCGTGGGCGCCGGGGCCGCTCCGGCCACGCCGCCAACCGGGCTCACCTCGCGGCGCCGCTGCGCCTGCTCCCGGCCTGCCCGGCCCGATCGCGGTGCCGTGCCCCTGGCCTTCCGCCGTGCTCCGCGGCTGCGCGCCCACCGTTCCGGGCTCCCTTCGTCCCCACGGCGGGGCCTGCGGCGTGCGGTGATCCCAGCTTTTCCGTGTTCCGTCCCGGGGGTGCGGTGGGGTCTTGATGCGGGGCAGGGTCTGGCCCCGCCGCCAGGCTGGTCTGGGACTGGGGCGTGAGGCAAACGCTGGGACCCGAGGGGTTTGTCAGCTCGGCGTGGTGGTCTGTGATTTCTCTTCCTCTCTCCTTGTCTGCCTCCTCTCTCTCCCCCTCTCTCCCCAGTCTCTCTCTCTTTTTTTTTTTCCCCAAATTTTTTGCTATAATACCGCGGAGCAGTTTCGCTTATTTTTGTCCCAGGTGGTTGTTGTGTTGTTTGATGGTGCGTTGTTTTGGTTTTCTGTTGTGTCCCGCCCCCCCCCCCCCAGCTGTCAGGTGGGGATTTAACTGGAAGCGGTGATCTGTCGTGATGAGTTTTCTGCTGCCCAAACTGACCTCGAAGAGGGAAGTGGATCAGGCAATAAAAGGTGTGGCTGAGAAGGTTTTGGTTCTCCGTTTTGGAAGAGATAGTGATGCTGTTTGTCTGCAGCTCGATGATATTGTAAGAGTAATTTCTTTTTTTTTTTTTTTTATTAACTCCACAAATACAGCTGTTGCATACAGGGGAATATCATATGTTGCTTTTGGCTAGTATGGTGCCTCATGATAAACTTGTTGACAATTAAATGTAGAATGAAATTATACTATATTCATAAAAAGGTTTGAAAAGCAAGTAAATGTTTGTGTTATTATTGTATTGGGTGTAAAAAGTGTTTGAGGTAGACAAGACATGATATTCTAGCCCTGCTTAAACTGATAAGACATAAGAGAAATGGGCTTATCAAGCTTGCCAGCCTCTTTTCCTCTTGTGTCTCAGTCCATTTGTCATGCACTTTTCTCACTCTTTTCAGCTTGCAAAAACAGCTCATGACCTAAGTAAAATGGCAGTCATTTACCTGGTGGATGTGAACAAGGTCCCAGTGTACACCCAGTATTTTGACATCAGTTACATTCCATCTACTGTGTTTTTCTTCAATGGACAACACATAAAGGTTGATTATGGGTGAGTCATCCTACCTGGCATTCTCTGTTATGTTTGTAAGAACAATCAGTCTTTCTCTGTTACCATGGGAAGGGAACGCGTAAAACCTATAATGTCGTTACCAGCATCTGCACTGAGAACTCTGTGGGAAGCCAGAAGAAACTAAAGTAGAGAAGCATTTTGAAATATGCTCTGATGCAGTAAGTGGGTGTTGACTGTCAAATAGGCCTGACTCTGCAAAAATAGTAAAAAAATGGTTAAAGTCTGAGATGAGACCTGTTTGAGGACCTGTTTGAGCTTTGGAGGTCCCAGTATATTCCTGGCTTGGTTGTGCCATTACAGGGTGTTCATTCTTTCAGCATGACCAGATCAGAACCCCTCATGTCATCATACATATTTTCACATCTTTAGGTGTTTTTGCTTTGAACATTTTAACATTATAATTCTACCTTTATCTTATGGTTATATTTAGGTCTCCAGATCATACCAAATTTGTAGGAAGCTTCAAAACAAAGCAAGACTTTATAGATCTGATTGAAGTGATCTACCGTGGAGCAATGCGTGGAAAGCTCATTGTGAGAAGTCCTATTGATCCCAATAACATTCCTAAATACGACCTTCTCTACCAAGGAATTTAATGGGTTGACCTGAGGTAAAGAATTACAGAAATGGACGATGTTCTAGATCCTTTTTTATTCACCTCTGATGCAGTGGGACAGTTTTGAGTGTTTATGCTGAAGGATCATATTGGTCTCCTTCTGAAGACAGACATTCTGTCACCTCGTGCTTTTCTCATAAATAAAGCTTCATGTTCTTGCATAGAGTTTACACAAGTGACTGTTCTTTGAGTTTCATGCTGATCAGCCCCTATAGAACAGGCAGGTTGTGTGCATCCTCAACCTTCTGAAGTGAACCAAGGCACTGTAAAGTCTATTAGGTGTCTATTCTGTACCATTTTCATTCACATATAATGACAGTAAATCTTACTTTATTAGAAAAGCTGTCCTTGCTCTCAAGAGCATTCAACTAACTGTGCCTTTCCAATGGAATTTTGAACTTTTACCAATGCTGGATAACAGGACAGAAGCTCCTTCCAACAGTATTAGCGATGACTGAAATCTGAAATGGATATAAACACAAAAGGGAGGTTGGTCTTGTTCTCGAGTATTACTGTTCAACAGTTTTTTTGACTGAGATGGGAACCTACTACTACACTTGCAGGAGAAGGTTTTGCCATCCTTCAAAGCTCTTTTGCAGCCACTGAACACCTAATTCCCACAAGCAGAATTAACTGGTTTGTTTACATTCACTTTAAAGATTATTTGAACTTCTGCTTGTATACATTGCAAACCTTGAGTATGTACATTTAAAAACTGTTTCCCACCTCTGTGTAAAATTAAACAGCTGAGTGGAAACAGCAGTGTTGTTCTTTTGCGTTAGTTTGGTAACTGCAGGCTGCTAGAGTATTGTATTTCTACAGCAGCTCATGTCCAGTGTTCTCACAGGCCTAGTTGGCTTTAAATGGAAATTACCTTAGCTCACTGTATCATATTTGGGGCACACCAACTCTGACTGGAGGGAAGGTAGTAGTATATAGTTCCCTGAAGTATTGTTCAACTTAACAGTAAATGTTTCAGGAAGGAAGGTGGATGCTCTGGCTCTGGAAAGATTTTAAGCAATGTATGGTACATAGTGAGGAAGAAACAGATTGTTTACATGTTTTTTCTATTTCAGATTTGTCCTTTTAATGAAGCTAGGCACTTAAGCAAGTGTTTTACTGCTAGCTTAGTCTGATTATAGAGCCATAACTGTAGAGTGTTTATTTTTAAAAATTATATACTTGAGTTGATATGCCTTAACATCTTTATTGTGTTCAACTTTAAATTTCACAGCTAGCCAAAGGGTTGTGGCTTAAGGCTTTCAATAATGCATTTCTTTCCTAATAGTTAACTTTAGTGGTTTTTTAATCAAAAACAAACAAATTAGCTTCAAACTTAGAACTCTAAGTTGCTCCACAGTGAGATGAAGGTTCTTAGGTGATTGAAAGGTATAGAGGCAGTTATGAAAGGAAGAGACTACTATCAAGAACAAACCAGTGTGCCTTTATTTATTGGCTCTCTTCTTCTTTGTGCTGCTTCTGGTTGCAATAGGTGAATGCCTAAAAGCTGTTATGGTCTTAGCTTTCAGGGAGCTCTTCAGGTACTTAAAGATGGCATGGAGACAGCAGGAGGGTGCTAAACCACACTTTTCCGTTCCAGCAGAGACAGTGGGACAATTTGTTCTCAAGAGAAAGTTCACAGTCTTATTCAGAGGTTTACTGTTTGACACCCACTCGCGGCAGCATTTCAGTATCCATTCCTGTATCTGTGGATTGTTCCTGGTCTGGTGCTGTATGTTGTGCACAGAGTCAATGAAGGCCACGGAGAACACTTTATTCATCACCTCACATGTTCTCTGCACCAGCAGATCAACGAACACCAAGCCACCGTAGCCATGGGCAATGAAGGCCACATTCTTGGCTGCGCTCTTTGAAATGAAATGATCCCACACATACATGGTGTGCTCCTCAGGGCTGCTGCTGCCCCTCTTGGGGATCCACCAGACAGACTGTGTAAAAGTAACTGCTTCTTCCCTGGTAGAAAAGTGGTGCTTTTCAGTCTTCAGATCCGCAAAGTTGTCATTGGGATTCAGTACAATCACTTCCCAGTGGCTTTGAAGGGCCATTTTGATGAATGGTATTTGTGTTCCATGTCTCAGGCCATCACTGACAATTGTCTTTTGCCCCCACTGTCCAGCACAGAAAACTCCACGGTCTTGAAGAAGTATAATGAGGCTAGAGGAACTTGTTAGTGCATTCTTGCTCATGAAAAAGAAACTTCTTGGTTCATCCTCTGTAGCATCAGTAGGAATATAAACCTTCTGTAGCATGCAGACCCTCTCCAGGAGCTCATAAACATACTGGGTAATAAAATGTCCCAGAACTTCATAGCGTTTATGATTCTGCTCAAATCTGCTCTTGTAATAATTGAAAACAAAGGACTCATTTGTATCCAGATGCCTCAGTTCCCCTTTTATATTGAAGTCATACTTCAGATCCTCTTGATACTCCGAACCCTCTATTAGTTTCCTCAGGCTGAGTTCGTGCTGCATTTGTAACCACTACAAATTAAGAAGACTATGTCAATGTGGCGATAGACCTCCATACAACACCTGCCTAACCCCCCCTCCAGCCTCTGTATTAGAATTCAGATTTAAAAGCAATTACAAAGAAAATACTTGTTGATCCAGACTCTCTCTTGGTGATGTGTAGTAAACCAGCTGCTTGTAAAATCTCTTAAGAGATTTCGGTTGCTAATTTCCAACAGCAGTAACATATCTGCCTTTATTATGCCTTGATTTCAGTTTGCTAGTTAAAGTTTGTAAGCTAGTTTGTTTATTTAAAGACCTTTTTAAGCTAGTTTGAATTAAAGGCCTTAAGGAGGAAGTTTGTGTACCTGGTTCATTGTTCATTTTAACAGCTCTTCTATCGTGCTGTGTCCTAGACATTATCTTGAAACTCTGCTGAGTTTCAAGGCTGCCTTTGAAGCGCATGCCTTGTCAGTTGGAAATAGTCCCGAGTATCTTACTGGATCCTAAATTTTTAAAGAAAATCAAGCTGCACTTACTAAAGAGTTCAACCTTCACATTGCTTGTGTACCAGCACACTCTCCATGTTCTACCTTCAAACTGCACTAGCACAGATAATGCATGTATGTGTTTGCTTTTTACTCATCACTCCGGTTATTCATTCATCATTGCAAGCACTTGCCACATGGATAGGAATGGATGGCAGAATAAGCTAGCCACTGTGATCCAGGAACAGAAGAAAACAAAATCCATGCAGGTTGGAAATATCATGAGGTTGGATTGAGGTCTCTAGTTTCAGATTATCTCCAGTGAATTATATAAGTTTATCATAACTTCCTATTTTCCTAATAACTCTTCAGTCTACTCTGACTGTCAGTGGCTGTAGAATGCTAAACAGTGCATGACCTTTGGTGTGGTTAAAATCCTACCTTTTCAGGAGTTTTGTCCTGACACAGTAATTTTTTTTTAAAATGTTTTACATTAAGTTATATTTGTCAAGTTATTTGGTACAAGCTACTCTATATCTTTAAGTTTTTCTTGCTGAACTAACAGAGGTTTTTAGAACACAGTAAAGCACCTTCTGTGTTAAAACTCACTATACCATCTGATAAAGCCAATTACTAGGACTAAAAGTGATCTGAATATTTTCATGTAAGTGACTTGAGTTGGAGCCCAACGCTTTCAAGGAATGCAAGTTTCCCTGAGTAAACTGATTACCATATTGAAAATTATTCCTTAAACATCCAAATTTTAAAAAGTTTTTAGCTTTTCAACACAGCAACATCACATACATTTTCTTTTTGAGCAATCTCCATTGGGTTAATAATGTTAAGTCCTCTCTTCAGGATCATTCCTGTCTTCTGATTAATAGAGAGCAGGCTAGAAAATGGTACCTTCTCCTTTTTTATCTCATGTAATCAGTATATATAGAAAAGGGGGAAAAAATCAGATTCTAAGACACATAATCCATTTACTGTCTTGCCAGTTTCTTGAAAAGGAAGCAGCACAAAGAAATTGCAAGTGCACATGTTCATCTATGTTTTTTTCATTCTGCAGGAAGGCACGAAAGACACAAAGGAGATGGCAGAACAGTCTTTTTGCTATACTACTGAACTATGGGCAATTCATAGAAAAGAGATCATATTTAGTAGGGAAGAAGCTATGCATATTCATGTTGTTGTCCCCAAGTGATGAAGTGGGAGAAAAATGGACATATTTTAAGGGAAGATGTCTATGGATAAAGGTGAAGCATTCTATAACAATTATGAATAGATAAATGCTATTTCCTTACAGAGTGGCATGCTGTGGATCACTTCTCAGTCCCTAAAAGGTCGAAGACTAATTTCCCAACTTACTATGAGCAGGAAGTTACTATTCCCTTACTTCAGCTACTAACAACAACATTGCTTTTTCAGTTCCAAAACAAGGATATGTGATTCCAAATTAAACCCTGTGTATGTAATATTGAACATCTACTTTACAAAGCACTGTGAAAGGTTTCTGAAGATTTCAGGAGGCAGAAACACACATACAAAAAAAAAAGTTTTACATGAGGTGTATGTATGACTTCCCTTCCTAAAATTGCCTTCAAGGTGTGAAATAAGAAGTTTTGAGGCAATTTATACTAGGTTATCACTTAAGAGTTCGCTTGAATAGCAGTTTAGAATCATATACTTATTAGTCCAGAGCCACAGTAATGCCGTTTACAGAAAAAATAATCACTCTTTTCCTTCCTCCCACATTTATGTTTGGATTGTAAAATACTTCAGCTGTAAATTCACCTAGTGTTTGTTACAGCAATTGGCACATTCTAAACACTACTGCAGTGTAAGCGCTACTCTTTATGAGATCTGTAAAGATTTGGGGTTTTTTTCTCTTTAAAACCACTTTATTAAAGCCCAACATTACCGTATGCTCTCCTGTAAAATCTGTCATCATCGTAGATGGAAATCTTTTTCTCTCTGTAAGTGTAGATAAGTCCTGTGCATGAAAGAAAATAAACCCATCACAGTTATGTACTGGGGTGTATATCTGTAAAACCTATCAGTAGGTGATAGTTAGGGCCACCAAAAGCACTCAAGATAGTTCCGAGTTACAGGCTAACACCCTTCGTTTGTAATTTACACCTAAGTTAAAGCTAAAACCTCTTGAGTGTGAGACTAAACACTTGTCCGAACCAGTTTTGCTTCCCACTACCCAAGAGGACAAAACAGAAAGCTACACACATAAAACCTACAATTCTGAAGCTGCCCTGGAAAAAAAAACCACCAGCAAAACCAAACTCCCCCCCCCCAAAAAAAAAAAATTCCAACCAGTAAATCTTTGTCTCCTCTTGGCTGTTAGGAGGATTTCCAAGGCCATCAGCTGCAAACCGTGGCCACAGCC